AATATCAACCCCTCTCCCTCAATTGGTGATAACCTGAACGTACATCAATCTTGAAGAAATAACTAGCCCCTTGAAGTTGGTCAAACAAGTCATCAATTCTAGGAAGGGGATACTTATTCTTGATGGTCACTTTATTCAATTGACGATAATCAATGCACACTCTAAGAGACCTCTTTCTAACAAACAACACCAGAGCACCCCATAAAGAGATACTCGGTTGAATAAAGCCCTTGTCTAGCAATTCCTTTAGTTTCTTTTTCAACTTCTTTAGCTCCGCCGGAGCCATTTTATAAGGAGCAATGGAGATAGGTTGCGTATTCGGAAGAAGTTCAATACCAAAGTCTATTTCCCACTGGGGAGGAACACCGGGAAAATCATCAGGGAAAACTTTTGGAAACTCATTAACTACCAGAAACGACTCTAGAGAAGGGGTTTCGGAATCCACATCCCTCACCCTAACAAGATCGTAAATACACCCTTTGGAGATCATCTTCCTATATTTAAGAGAAGAGACAAATTGACCTCTAGGCATAGAATTTCCTCCTTTCCAGTCTAAAATAGGCTCATTCAGAAATTGGAATTTAACCACTCGGGTTATACAATCAATAAAGGAATAGCAGCATGTTACCAATCTATACCAAGAATAACATCAAAGTCTAGCATGTCAAGTTCTATCAAGTCAACAAGAGTAACTTTATGGGACATCTTCTATAAGCCCCCTTAGCTACCACAAAATCACCAACTGTGGTAGAAACCATAAAAGGTTCTAATAACTCTTCCAGAGGAGCATCAAACCTCACTGCCACATAAGGCGTCACAAAAGATAAAGTAGCACCGGGATCCAACAAGGCATATTCATCAATAAGAAACATTTTTAACATACCGGTCACCACATTCGGGGAGCTCTCTTAGTCACCTCGGGATTGAAGAGCATAAAATGGTTTTTCTTGGGAGCATCAGAATTTGTACCGCTAGGAGGAACTTGCTTGCCTTATCTTCCTTGAACCTCAAGCATTGGACAATCCCTCATCGTTTGACCACTTTTCCCACAACTATAGCAACCATCCGTGCCAACTAGGCACTTACCATCATGTTTCTTACCACACTTAGCACAAGTAGGCCTAGTCATAGAAGATCCACCACCATTGCCTTCTTGAGGTTTAGGGTTAGACACCCCATCTTTGTTGAACCTTGGAGCATTAGAGGAACCTTGGTTGGAGAACCTTCGCTTGAACCTTGGTCGACCTTATCCGTCGGACTTAGCATTGGAGAAATTCCTATCACCGGTTCTAGCTTTTTTTACCTCCCTATTCTTGTCTAGGAGTTTCTCATCCTCCATTTATTGGGCATACACCATAAGACGTGAGATATCCATATTATCATGGAGCATTACCGAATGGCATTCTTTTCTTACCAATCGAGACACGCCCGTCAAATACCTACTCATCATGTCCCTAGAATCCGCCACCAAAGCCGAAGAATAATTGGAAAATTGAGTAAACTGTAGAGAATACTCTTGAACACTCATACCTTATTGACGAAGGTTGATAAACTCTTCTATCTTAGTTCCCTCAACTCTCGGGGAAAGAATCTATTAAGGAATGTCAATTTGAATACTTCATATTCGATGGGACCCGCTCCTACTGGCCTACAACTATTTCATTACTTATACCATACTTGAGTAACACTCTTCAATTGGTAAGCGGCTATCTCCGCCTTCTCTACCAAAGTCACCCCCATAATGTCAAGTACTTTTTAAACCTCTTCCACAAACTCTTGAGGATCTGCTCCTACTTTAGAGCGATGAAATTTAGAATGGTTCATTCTAGCAAAGTCCCTAACCCTTGATGCAACCGAATTCATATTAGCATTAGCCGGAGCAGCAACTTCCCTATTGGCTTGGGCCATCATGGCTTGGGCTTAAGTTGTTACGGCTTGAGCTTGAGTCATCATGGCTTGGGCAAATATTTAGAGAGCCAGCCTAACTTCCACATTAGACATAGTCGTGAGATTAACCAGAGCTTGGGGAACTTGAGGATCTTGGGTAGGAACTCCCTCATTCACATTATCCTTTTTCATCCTTCTTGTGTTAGTTAGCCCTTCGTGTATTCATATCCTGAAGACGCAAGAGAAGGGTTAAGAGAGGGACTTTATAGAGTTACAACTCTAAGGAACAACTAAAGAGTAATGAAAGAAGTGAAATTTCCTAAACATCTAATAGCCTCTCATTCATAAATGTGGCGTGCTTCACCCTAATAAATAAGACTCTACTAGACGTGGCGTATGAGACATTTCCTAGAATCATTCCAAATCTTGTACTCTGATTACCAAGTTTGTCATGACCCAGGGGTACCCCCTAGATGTAACAAGGCACATAGAACCCCTAAAGGTACCATGTAAGCCCCTTAGCATATCATAACATAAGAATAGAACAATAAAGAATAAAGTACATTTCAATTCTTAAGAAATTTTCATAAAAGCAAACCGGAAGTCTAGACTTGTCTCAATTAGCCATCTATTACAATCGAAGTATCAAATAGGGTCACAGCCCTTACAACATAGATCACAAATGAAATGCTAGAAAAGAAACTAGAAAGAAACATCTTCCGTCCTTGAACCATGAGGACTCACCAAAAGCAAGGACAATATTCGATCCAAACTTTGACCAAGAAGGAGATCACCTCAAGAACCAAACCCTACACCTATTAAAAATGTAGAAAATATGGGTTAGTACAAAGATGCACTAATTATGATAGCCATGCACGAAAATAGTGAAGGCATGCTAAAAAGGATACTTTAGTTGAAAAGCATGTATTTTACCAAGTTAAAGAATCATCAAGAACATTTGTGTAGGAGCACAAGTCATAAGAATATTCAACATAAAGATCATTATAACATAGTTGAAACATGCCATAAATACCCTCAAAGCATACTTGTGCAATGCATGAATAAGATCACATAATCCCACCCATGCTAAGTAAAGATTCTTGAGTAACCATAGTTCATAATTCATGTTCTTGTTCATATTTCATCATGGTGGGAATAAGCCTTATCCGACATAGACCATGTGAGCTAAACATGGAATTTGGTTTTATGCCCCACACCGAAAAGAGGTGTCCTACTTGCCTAAGGTAGAACTAAAGTTTGTTAGCTTTTAGTTGGATCTACTAGCTAAAGACCTATGTGGAAATATAGTTATTGGATACGGAGATTGCTACTAGAAACTCGGACGTGACTGAGGTTGAAGGTTTCCATCTCATGAGATACATGTTTTGGGAACCCGGACTTAACTGCCGTAGAAGGAACCCATTTGGAAAGCCGGACTAACTGGTGTAAAAGCTTCCATCTCATATTCAAATCCACTCGGTGCTAAGCATAATTCCCATTAATTTCATGTTAAGTCTTGGCTTAGGTTCATGTTTATGGAAGAATGCCTTAACACTCAATCCAACACAATTAATAATATCGCTCATAGATTCAAGAGGTGAGAATAGCCTTTCAACCTTAGAATCATCATATTGTGAGAAAACCTTTCACATCATGTCATATTCATACATATGTGTGCATATGAGGATACCATCCAACAACACAACAACTAGATCATAATCATAATCACTTTACTCTCAAAGTAATCTAAAAGCATGTACATAAGTCTCATAATCATGCATAATTCTCATACATTGCCCTTCAAGGACCATAGATCATAATTCACCAACACATCTAGAATTACTACATTAAACATGGATGATAACATAACTCAACTAACTTGATTACTATAAGCATGATTTCATGGCATTCATCTATAATCAACAATTCACCTCACAAGACCATAATTGAGTAATTTGGGGGATTCATGGGTTCTTGGGGAAATTCAACATAAAAACAATAGGAATTCATCAATTAATCCATAATACATCATAAATCAATCATTAGAAACGTTTTTTTACAGGAACCCATGATATTGAAGACAAACCCGAACTTTTGCGATTTCTAGTTTTGAAACTGGGGTTTTGAAGGGACTCTATGGAGGAATTCTATCCATAGATGAAAAGCTACCATACCTTGGTGAAGAATTCCCACGAAATTGAGTAGAAAAGATTGATCCTTCAACCCTAGCTTTCACCTTCTTCTTCTTCTTCCTTGGAGTTTTAGAGAGAGGATTTTGGAAAGGGTTTTGGTTTTTTGTTTTAGGGATTTAGAAATCATGAAGAAGATGATTTAGTTTAGTGAATTAAAAAAACCTTATATAGGTGTCCTAATTATGTATAAAACGACGTCACTTAATCCCACTTAAAATAGGAAATCCCCATAATGCCCCCAAGTAAAACTGCCTTTTGGCAGTTACAGGCCTCACCTACGACCACACGACCACGGTCCGTGGATGGACCCATGTGGCATTATGGTGAACCATGGGTTGAGGTTCTGGAGCTTTTTTTGGAAGGCCTTGACCCACGACCCCCCACCCACGAGGCGTGGTCTGACCCACGAGTCATGGGTGCCCTCTGTGGGTCACTGTCAGGCATTCTCTATGAGGCTTTTCCTCAAGGACCCATGGTTGGTCCTTGGAGTTTAAAACTTGTCATTCTAACATGTATACATGAATTTTAAGGTACGGGGAGGTACGTTCACGTCTCTAAACCTTAACGTCAAACTCTAGTTTAGGCTACTAATTTCTGGGGTGTTACAAGTTGTCTGGAGGCATAAGCTATAACATTGTCATTCTGCATCAATACACAACCCACTCCAACTCTGGACGCATCACAATACACAATAAAGCCTTGTGTACCTCCGGTAATGTCAACACTGGGAATTAGTCAACCGCGTTTTCAATTCCTAAAAGCTTTTCTCACGAGCTTTAGACCATTGAAACTTTGTTGTCTTCTAAGTCAACTTGGTCAATGAGGATGAAATAGATGAGAACCTCTCGACAAACATCCTATAATAACCAGCCAATCCCAAGAAACTCATAATATCAATGGAGATGTGGGTCTAGGCCAGTTCTACACTGCCTCAATCTTCTGAGTGTCAACTCGAATCCCATTACCAGAAACAATGTGGACTGAGAATGCCACAGACTCAAGCCTAAATTTGCACTTGACAAAATTTAGTATACAACTCCTTGTCCTTTAGAGTTTGGAGAACTACTTTGAGATGACTAGCATGATCTTTCTCATTCCTCAAATAAATTAGAATTTCATCAATGAATATGATAACAATATATCAAGATGTTGCAGGAGCAGTAGTCAAACCAAAAGATATGACTAGAAACTCATAATGGTCATAGTGGGTCCTAAAAGTTGTCTTTAGAATATCACTCTCTCGTACTCTCAACTGATGATAGCCAGATCTGAGGTCTATCCTAGAAAAACACATGGCACCCTGAAGTTGATCGAAAAGATCATTAATTCTTGGAAGGGAATACTTATTCTTTATGGTAACCTTGTTCAATTGGCGATAATCAATAAATATCCTAAGTGAACCATCTTTCTTCCTCATAAATAAGACAGGAGCGCCCCAAGGTGTGACACTTGGTCGAATGAAACCTTTATCAAGAAGGTCTTTCAACTGCTCTTTTAACTCTTTCAACTCATATGGAGCCATTCTATATGGAGGAATAGAGATAGGATGGGTATCAGGAAGAATATCTATACCGAAGTATACTTCTCTCTTAAGAGGGACTCTGGGATGATCATCTGGAAAGACCCCAGGGAACTCACTCACAACTAGAACTGACTAAATAGGTGGTGTCTCAACACTAGAGTCATTAACTCGGACTAAGTGATAGATGCACCCCTTGGAAACTAACTTTCTGGCCTTAATGTACGAAATAAAATGACCCTTAGCACTATTAAACTACTCTCCACTCTATAACTAGCTCATTAGGAAACTAGAACTTTACAACTCGAGTTCTACAATCAACTGAAGCATAACAGGCATGAAGCCAGTCCATACCAAGAATAACATCAAAGTCCACCATATCTAGCTCAACTAAGTCATGTATGGTGTCCTTGTGATTGACATAAATGGTACAATTACGATAAACTCTCTCAACTAGAATAGACTCACCAACAGGTGTAGAAACACGGATTATCAAACCTCATAGCAATATACGGAGTCACAAAAGATGGACTCGCACAAGGATCAAGTAAAGCATAAACATCAAAACTAAAGACTTTGATCATACCAGTGACAACATCTGGGGAATTCTCTTGCTCTTGGCAACCAGTGATAGTATACAAACGGTTTGCTCCTCCGCTTGTCCCTGAAGTATCTCCTCTTGGTGTAGCTCTATCTTGTGGATCCACTGAAGAAGATTGGGCTCTATTACCCCTATTGCCATTACCTTGCCTGTTCTTAGGGCACTCTCTCATGAAGTGACCTGCTTGGCCAAACTTGAAGCAACCAATGAAGCCATCACGACACGCTCCTGGGTGGTTTCTACAACACTTAGCACATGTAGGAGTCCAATTACCTCCTCGTTCCATACTACCTTGAGACTGTGCAGGTCTAGCTCTGAAATTCTGAGAATTTTGATCCTTGAACTCACCTCTGCTTTTTGGTGCAGGTGCACTAGCAGATGATGGAGCCGGTCTATTTGGCTTGTGTTGAAAGGATGACAGGTTCGCATTGCTCTTCTCCTACCCAGACTCATTTCCTGTTGTCTTAGCCTTCTTGTTCCGAAACTCTTCTCTATCCCTCAGCTTATCTTCCTTAATCTACTGAACATGGATCATTAGCCTTGCTATGTCCTTGTCCTCTATCAACATTACAGCCTTAACCTTTTTGCTTGACAGACGAGTCAACCCAGACACAAACAAGCTCATCCTGCTACAACTATCTCTGGATCATAGCAGGACAGTTGAGTGAACTTGAGGCTATACTTATGCACACTCATGGATTCCTGCTTAAGAGTGAGGAATTCTTCTACCTTTGCCTCTCTCAGTTCACGGGAAAAGAAACGCCCTATGAAGGCCTCTTCGAACACATCTCAGCTCACAATTGGTGCACTACTCTTCTTCCATTGGTCGTACCATACTCTAGCAACACCCTTGAGTTGGTATGCAGCTAGTTCCACACACTCAACATCTGCAATATGCATCACCTCAAACACTTTCTGCAACTGCTCCACAAAATTTGCCAGATCCTCAGTGACACTTGAACCGGTGAAATCTGGAGGATTCATCCTGAAGAACTCACGGATCTTGGATGTATCAACCACATTTTGTCTATTCCCTCTTTGTTTCCAAGCTTGGTTGGTCACAACTTGAATCAACATTCAGATAGCATCCCGAAACTCAGCATTAGTGACTTCTCCTTGGGGTAGAACTTTTGGTGCATTGGGGACCCCTTAATCCTGATGGTCAATATTTCTCCTAGAAGGGCAACCTCGAACAACTCTTCATCGAGGCCTGATCTGATAGACAAACGCAAGCAAGAATTAGAAGGAAACTTTTTATAGAGTTGAACTCTATCGCACGAAAAGAAGTGAGATAGTTCTTAAATGTCGTAGCCTCTGAATTATAGATGTAGCACGTTTCACACCGATAACTAGGACTCTACAGACACGGCTTCATAGACACCCTAGAACTCTTGAACTATGTGCTCTGATACCAAATTTGTCACGCCCTAAGCCTATACCTTGAACGTGGCCGGCACTCGGGAACCATTGTTGGCCCTAAGAGAACCCTTGGCCTGACTCAATATTCAGCGGAAGACTTACCCAAAAATAGAGGAACTCAAATATAAATCTTTAACTCAATATCTCAAATAGATAAACTTAGAATATTTAGAGTAAAACATTCACTGGCCAAAAGAGGCAACTTAAGTCTAGAACATTAACAACTGAAACAGACTTCCCAATTACTATTGCCTATGAAACCACTAATACTATGAGGGATGTCGGGATAAGACTCCCAATCATCAAAATAAAACTGATATAATATAAATAAATGAGGGATCCTCCAGAAGCAAGGAGGCTCACCAAACAACTCTGGGACTGCTAGTGGTATCAACGAAGAGCCTATTGATGATCCTGATTACCTGTATCTGCATCATGAAACGATGCAGGCCAAATGGAATCAGTACATTGAATGTACGAGCATGTAAGGGGAAATATAAAACATGACATAAGCTTGAACTTGAACTAAATAAACATACTCACCTCAACTCAACCTCAACTCATGGACACTCAACTCAATACAATATAAAAATAATAATAATAAAGATGCGGTTTATATAAAACATTTAAAACAATAGATAGTAGTTAAATGTATTTAAAAATACAATAATAACTCATATTTGAATGCAAAGATACAAAATACTCAATTTGGGATATTCTCTAACCCACAACCATCACTATGAACTATGTGATGATACAATGTCTCGTCCACGCTGTCAGAACTGTCCTATACCTTTTCGGAGTATAAGACATCCTCAACTAAGTGGATCCACTAAGATATGCTTAAAAAGCAATAAGGAATCATCTAAAAAGATTTTAAAACATCTCCTCATTCTCAAAATTTGAGATTATTACCCAAAAGGTTTCTCTTAAAAGAGATAGTACTCAGAACTCCTCATGAACTCTTTTAGAAATCGATGTTTCCTCTCATTTTAAATGTAAAAACATTACTCTTGGGAATATTTAGTTCCCATATATTCAGTTTGGAAAATGAAACTCAACTCTCCTCATCCTCATACTCAAGTACTCAAGTCTTAAAACAAGTTTTAAAAGATTGTAAAAGACTTCTCAAAATGATTCGAAAGAACTCTCGAAAATTTACTCTTAAATCTACCTTGAACTTGAATTATGAATTATGAACTCAAGGGTTATGATTCAATGTTATGAAGGATCTCTCGATGTTTAGATGTAGTTTAGAGTAGTTGGAATCAGAAAGGAGTGAAGGTACACTTTAAAAAAACTCAGACGGAACAAACGATTGAAAACAGGACAGGGCAGGCGACTCTGGCGCACTGAGTGGCGAGGGGCACCAGCCCCTGAACTTCAGAGACGCAGTTCTGGCGCACTACTGGCGCGGTGCGCTAGCCCCTGCCCAGAAAACCCTACGAATTTCTGTTTCTCGTTTTCTCACCCTAATTTGCCTAGAATCGATTATTTTCCACAATTTTGCTTACACTCAATTACCCAATACAAGTACACGAGAATCTACTCAAAAACAACCCTCAAACTCATAACATTTATCTCAAGAACTCATCAAACCTATCATAAACGATTTAAGAATGAAACTTCAAGAAACTCTTCAAAAATTCATCAAGAACTCAATATTCCCAATCTTATGGATGAAATTCACAAAATAAACTCATGATTGGTGTGTGGGTGAACGGACCCAACACTATGAAAACTTACATAACTCAATTTGGCGAAGCAAATCCTCGATTCACAAGAAATCTTAATCGATCTTCCTTTTCTCCTCTTTTTTCTTCTTGAACTTCACTGTAAAACCCTAAGGGTAATTTAGGATTGTGAAAATTGACCCAACTCAGTTTAGATTCCTAAAATATTAATAAAAATGTTTAAAGATGATGGGGTAAGGAAAAGACCAAAATACCCCTCACTAATTCGGGTAAATTTCCTTAACAGTACAGGCTGACTTCAAACAGGCATGTCTCCCTCATTCGAACTTGAAATTTAGCAAACTTGGTGGCATTGGAAAGAGGATTCAAAGACCTTTCATTTGATATATGATGGGCCACCTAATTTATCTTGTATTGAAAGTTATGATCGTTTGAAATTGACCCAAAACTCACAACTTAAGCATAACTTGCCAAATGCTCAACTTGGCTCTTTTCCTATTTAGTTCTTTCTAAAAATAGCTCTTTCTAAGACCGAGGTGTTACAAAGATCAAGACCATCAGTTTCAAGAACATGCTCGAAGCCCTTGAATTCAAGTAAAAGTCAAGATGAAGATGAAGTTCAAGTTCATCAAAGATTCAAGAACAAACATTAACGCCCTTGAATCCAAGATCAAGTTCAAAACAAATTCAAGAACAAGCTCATGAGCCTTTGAATTTATATCTTAAAAGACGAAATCAAAGGAATTATAAAGATTGTAGCACTCGCACTTCGAAATCAATAAATATGATTGTTGCATAATTTTTTCGATCTTAATTATTATTTTCTAGACTCGAATTCTATTGTCTAAAGTAACTTCAAAAATTATATAGTTGTAACTTATATTAAGTTGATACTAGACATGTATTTTGAATTTTGATATACTAATTTTTTTTTCCTTTTACTTAGTTACAAATGAATCACAGAAATCACTTATTATGACAACAAAAATAAGGAAAATGTTAAAAGAGATGAGCATGCGAGGGTAAAGGTTTAAGGGTGTGTAAATTGTGTTCGGTATGAAGTAAAATGTGTTTCATGATAACAAGTGAATTTATAAATTATTTTGCAGTGTTTGATAAATAAGTAAAAGACACATTATTTCAAAAGCAATTATATGTAATTGAGCAAAATTGTGTAAGGGTGGGGTGGGGTGGAGAGTTTGGGTTTTGAAGTGACGGTGGTAGAATGTTTAAAAGCACTTATAATAATTGTTTATCCTAATTTTATTATGAAAGTTATTTTCCTTTTAACTTATTTTCTACAAAGACAATTTACAAAATATTTGATCAGTCAAACATGAGAAAATTGAAAAATTCATAATTAACGCACCCTAAATTTAGTGTGGAGTTAAAAGGGAAGAGTAGAATTAACAACCCTAAGTATAGACATTTTCAAATTATGTAACTTATACATGGAATAATTGACCTAGCCGACCCTATTTCTTCTAGCACTACCACCTTAGATAATTACTTTAATTTGAAAATGTCTAATAACTAGGGCTGCTAAATCATCAAGTCCTAGTCTTGGTTAAAAGTACATTCGACATAGATAAAAGAATGACATTTGATAAGAGTGACAAAATTAGCCTATAAAATAGTGATATGTTTGAATCGTTTAAAATTGAATGAGTTAATGATCCATTAATATTAAGAAGCCTTGTCTAATCATGTAGTTTTTTTTATATTATATTTATCTAATATAGTGAGAGTTTAAAAAATTACTAAATCTAGTGAGAGTTTCTGAAATTCGCCATATATCTATCAGTAATACATCAATTCGCTCTGATATAACAACTTTCTTTTTATATGTTGATGTATTACTCATATAGATTGAATTGGGAATTTCTAATACAAAGGAAATTTCAAAAATTATTGTATCACTAATACATAGCGAATTTCAAAAATTGGTGTATCACTAGTACATAGCGAATTGAGAATATATTGTTACATTTGGTAATTATTCAAACTATCACTGTATTTCCTAATTTAGCTTCAAATTAGCGATATTTTTGAAAAGTTTCCTTTATTTTATTAAATTCATCCATTTTTAACTGCTTGATTCAACTCATTTAACAATTAACCTGATATGCAACTCATATTGACCTGTGAGAAATTGTGTAAATATTTTTAAAAAGAGATTTATTTTTTTTAATTTAATATCTTATATGTAGTAATTGCTAACAAAGTTAAGCTAGTTTCAGTTGTTGATTTACTTGTTGTGTGGGTATTTTTGCATCGACTTAAGTACTTTTACGGATTGTATAGTAGAGTATATAAGAATAATGTTATAAAGAATATATTAGTAATGCTTACATTAATAATACATAGATTATTCTTATAAATTTGGGTTGGAGTATTAAAAATAGAATGTATTGGATAAAAATCTTTATTTACAAACTCTTCACAATTATAGTGGGAAATATGTAAAAGAGAATTTATATCGGCAATGGGGTGTTTGACCATCCATGCAGATGCATGCATTAAAACCCCTTGCATTACTAATACATAGAAATTTATGGTATTAGTAATATACACCTTAATACACAATAGAATATATATAATTAATACTTGCATTGATTATAAATAACATGAAAAAGTGTATTAAATAAAATATTATTTAATACACATAGTGAATATATGTATTATTTTTACTGATACACTCAACCAAATGACCCCATTGTGGACTTGCCACATGCAAGTAATTGGTGAAACAGTATATAGGAGAGGTGAAGGCAGTTGGGGATATGCATCTACACTGTTGGTTTTTTTAGTAAGAAATTAAGAAAATAACAGAGAAAGACTTTGAGAGAAAAAATATCACGGTATTGTCAAAGGAAATTATTTTATTAATAATTCAGAGACATACATTTATAGACATAATTCTAACTAAAAATAGAAAAATATGCTACTAACTTATCAGTAAAA